TTTTATCAGATATTTAGATAGATATGTATATATATCAGACAAAAAAGACATATATAATATTTATTATATAATATTTTAGCTTAATATTTCAAATTGTAATTATAAGTAATAAAACATATGATGTATTTTATATTCTCTGAAATTTTTCTGAAATAATAAATATATGAATATTTTAATACTAATGTAAAATATATAAATATAAAATTTCTAAAATCGAAAGTAAAGATACCAAAATATCTGAATAAAGTATCTGATATTCATAATCATAATGTATTCTTAAACCTTTTATTATTTACCTAAATTTGCAATTGCACTTTCATTATAAATTTACATAAATTTAAACTGATTGTACATCTAAGTAGTAGAATATGTAATTATTATAAAAAACTAATACTAAATACATCACTACGCATTAGCAAGTAAAAAATTACGTTAACAAATTTTTGTTCAAACTATGATTTAATTGGTATTTTTCAAATAATACGAATTATATATACCATGTACAAACATTACATATATATAGTATTATATAGTTTATGACATAATGTGATGAAATGATCAATTCGTAAGTCTCATGCAATAACTACATTTACGATAGTAATGAGAGATATTTTAGTATTAGTAATGAAATATAACGTGATAGATAATATATAGATTAATTGAAGGTTATTGTTTAATAATGACTTCTGCACAAGTCGAATAAGTTCAGGTATATATAAAAACAATATATTTTACGGTTAAGAATATTTAAATTTACAATCCTGACAAAACAATGAAGCCTTTAACAGATCTTCCTTTAATATCAAAATTATCAACAAGAGTCATACGAATTTTAGGATGTAACCAAGGAGTTATGACATTACAAGGTACAAATACATACCTCGTTGGTACTGGCACCAGGTAATACATGAAAATTTTATTAACTAAGAGAGCGAGTACATATTTATATATTGTAATGTAAATTAATATTTCTTTCCTACAGACGTATATTAATCGACACAGGTGGAGAAGAAACTGCTCCTGCCTATACAAAGTTATTACGTGATGTATTAGGAAAAGAAAAAGCAACTATTGAACATTTATTGATTACACATTGGCATGATGATCATTTAGGAGGAGTTAATCCTGTTTTAAATACATTAAAAATGTTAGATATAAAAGCAACCTCTAGAAAAGTATGGAAATTTCAAAGGGCTCAACATGACAAAGGTACAAGTGAATCTGAGAAAAAGACTTCATGGCAGAATTTAGAAGATAAGCAAACATTTGAAGTGGAAGGTGCCAAATTACGTGTTGAGTATATGCCTGGTCATACGAGTGATCATGCTACCTTTATATTAGAACAAGAGAATGCATTATTTAGTGGAGATTGTATTCTTGGAGAAAGTACTACTACGTTTGATAATTTACATGATTATACAATATCATTAAATAAGATATTGGCATTAAAAACAAAACTTATCTATCCTGGTCATGGACCAGTAGTAAAAGATCCAGAAGCTGTGATTAATTATTATACTGAACATAGATTAAAAAGGGAAAGTGAAATTTTAGATATTCTTCAAAAAAATGCAAAACCTAATACATTATCTGAAATGGATATTGTAAATCATTTATACAAGGTAATTTAAATCATTTAGTTTATGATATATTTAGTTTTAATGTCAAATATACAATATAAAACCTCATATTTTTAGAATATCTCGCGAGACAAATGGGAAGCAGCAGCTAATAATGTAGAACGTCATCTTGACAAATTATTAAAAGAAGGCAGAGTGAAAGGCATGAAAGGAAAATGGCAAAGTATATAACTAAAGTAAGTTTAACAAGTTATTTAATTTAAAATTGTAAATCCTTAAATTATCTATGGTGTTTGTAAAATAATATCTGTAAATATTATACAAAATAGACAAAATACAGTATTGTATTGTTTCATAGTTTATTTGTAGTCTAATACTAAATCCATACCCATGTCAGTTGAGAAAATCATCGAGAAAGCGATGCTGTGAAACATTTATTCGATTTACAGGAACAAAATGATAATACATTGTTCATGAATTTTGTTTTCCAATGTTTAGGCTGACAATGCTAAAAATGTGCGTACAGTGTACAATAATCGTTACAAATAATTTTACGAAGTATATGCCACATAGTATAATGATCCGTTTATTTGATTAATGCAGCTTTCATATTCTGTTCATTTCTTTTAAGGGCTCATTAAAACACGTGACACGTGAATAGATGTTCGATATAAAATATATACTTTGCTACAAAGACATATCACGACAATAAACGTTTCAATATCTCCATTATAAAATCTGTTCTCTACTAGATAATGTTGGCGAGTATTCATACACGCGGTATATAGCACCCCTTACTTTGAACAAAGGGCAAAACCCCGACGTAACATGACGTTACAATATATAATATAGACTTCGTTTATATCTTTAATAAGCTCACTTCATCTGATCATCTGTTTCTCTCTTTGGGTAAATGTAAAAAATATATATATATATAATTATATATATATATAATATATTT